CAAATCAAATCCTTTTCTAATAACCTATTTCCCATTGTCACCGAGACTATTCCTACGTCCGCGACAAAACCACGTTCTAGGACGAAAAGAACCTGTAATGAACTTCCAACCAAAGTAAAAAATCAAACATAAACGAATATCAAAAGCAAATCCTCGCAGGACAATTTAAACAACTACACGTATTGGACTGGAAAAAACCCGGCTGTTTCCATTAATGTATATACCTACTCCCTATGTATGGTATGAGTATGATAAGGAGAGTAATATGGAAAGGATCTACGAACAGTAAAAAACATGATTCCATAATATTTAACATAGGCATTGCTTATTCGTTGGTTGGAATAGTTGAAAAATGTCAATCCAAACAGGAAAATATTTACTTTGTCACATATTTCACATTAGTAAAAGACAACATTTTAATATCTAATTTTATCCCGAGTTACATTAGCCTTGGTGCGGTATCTGGGTTGGATGATACTGCTATCTGTTATTAAAACATCTACTCAAGCCGTTTCTTTTAGCTCTCCTATGGGCCTAGTATGGTGATGTACCTTATATTGTTGGCGATCTATAGCCCGTATTTTATACTTATTGTCTCCGTTGGAATATTTTAACTTTGCACTAGTTTTATATTTGAAACTGTGATTTTCTAGTCTTTTACTGTCCATCGTCGACAGGTTTTAATCTTCAAAATGTTTCTACTTTTATTTGTATGGCTTGTTTTCGTCACGATATGGCTGCAATATTGCCGATGTGACGTTAAATATTAACTCACTCACTAGCTCTCCTATGAATATTTAAAAATTAAAATGGGAAAGCTGTAGTGTGATATCCGTGTATCAAGCTGCTTTTATGCCTGAACAATCTCTCATAAAGAACTTCCGGTCATCGTGTGGTCCGACGCCTTGTTCGGTAGGTATATTGAATCATTTAGCCACAGATATTGCGCTAGGTTGTTGGCAACAGGGGCACAATTGATAATTTGATGGGATTAGAATCATCATTTGTACGCAGTTGACAATGTGGTTACACATTTTACTCAAGAAGTTATTGTTAAAAATATGCAGCTATGTGGTCTTGTGTTTGATTTTATAAAACATTTCTACCGGACAGAAATGTTCATGTTTATATGAGTTAATTCATCCCTAAATTGCAGTCTCGGTTTTAGTATTTTCTCAATCAGTATTTTAGGATATAATTTACCTTCTTGATAATGTTTCAAATGAAAAAACTGATGGATCGACAATTTTTATGATGTTATTAATACCCCTTGAAACCAACACTATTAACTTAACATCTTTGTCTTAGCAAATTACAAAAGTAGTCAGAAAATGGTTTACGTTTCTTAATATAAAACATTGTATGTTCATTTTTGCAATAAATTTCATAATGGTCCAGAATTCCAATTGAGAATCTAAAAACGGCATTTGACGTTCCGAAAGTTGTGTCAAATGTTCAACCTGGAGTTGGAAACATTATCTGATGATTGTAGCTGGAACAAAGGAGACGGTCCTAAAAGCATGTGTTTGGGTGGGTGTGATACTCCCATGACAGCTTGAACAAAGACTGATCTGCTTTTGTGTTTACAGTCTAAGCTCATAACCGAAAACTATAACCATCGCCAACATTCACCATCAGGGTCTGAGATTATGAACTGGTGCTTCTCCTTGTTGAAGCAAATAAACCTTGGTTCGGTTTAACATGAGTAAACGTGCACTGCAAATCTAACTAAACTCTAATCGAATCCCATTAAAATATGCATCTGCACTTTAAAGAGTCTTCCTTAATTCCACTCCTGGATGTTCGCATGGCGTCGGACATCAAGTAAGCTGATTTAAGCCTTGCTAGATTTAACGAGCCTGTAACAAACCGATACTCATTGCTTGCTATGTCAACACAACTTTATTGAAAAGATGGATCACTACCCTTTCATACATATCGCCCAAAAGAAGGACAGGAAGTATCAGCTGCTGCAGTTTAAAATGATGGCTCGGTTTCCCTCGAGCTTACCGATGTAAGTTCTATTTTCACTGCAGAACCTAGGGCTATTTTGTTAGCTTTGCCGTCTATCAATCATTCCAAAATGAGAAAAGATATAATTTTTCTGACAGTTTGTTGTGTTAAATGTTTCGGAATCTGAAAATTTCTTTCTCTCAGATCCAACTTTGACACCTTAATTTATCAGTGGGCGATAGTGATGTTGTTTTTGTTGGCTTGCAAACCGGAATGATATAAAAGATAACAGTAAAATTGATGCTACAACGACGGCTGCCATTTATAGATCAATATCAGACACTAAGCTCTTTTGTGGTGATTTTAAGTCTGCTATTGGTAAATATGGTAATCAAATTTGGATAAGAAAACCACTTGTAATATCAGGTTTTATTTAGTAGTTAAGGCCCAGTGGCCCAAAGAACAATTGAAGATGCATTATTTCATCTATTGGTCACGTGACATGAAGTCATGGTTTTACATGCGATTTACGGATGGACATCAAATGTTTTATGAAAATGGCAACAGATTTGATAATATCAGGATTATTAGAATTAAGTACATTATATATCGTTTGTGGGGTATCATTAGAACATTTTAAATACTTCTTTCGGCAGGCAGAGGAGACATCACATAATAATAATAAATGGTGTTCGTCTTCAGTTTTACCAGAAGAACAATAAGAACATAATACATCTTCCAATGTATTATTATCTTTTCTAAAACGTTGTATTATTTAGGCACGTAGAGAGATTCTAAATTTACAAACATTTCTTAAAAGGGACTTATCATTAAGAACACTGATATATTTTTTAGGTCCGAACATCGATTTAGATTGTGAATAATGACTAAGTAAACTGGATGCATTTACTGATGCGTTCCAATTCTGAACATAAATATCTTTTATTCGTTGTTTAAATGTTGATAGAAATATTTTTATATCAACAACATCTTGCTTAAACCAAACATAAGAAAACCCACTTGAAAATAACGTATTTCTCACATCTGAACCCCATGTATGTTTTCGACAATTATCTAGTGATAACAATAGTTGATAGCTTTGGTGGGGGTAGCGATAATCAGGCATTCTTATAAGTTTAATCCAGTATCTAATAACTCTCATTTGACTCTCAATATGCATGTTATAGCATCCTGTTTCACCAAGTACGGTTTTATTGTAAGCAAATTTATCTACTGTAAGAAATATGTTAAAATATGGTGCATGGACATTTTCAATGGCTTCGAAATATACTAGCCACATAAGGAAACTGTACATTGTCAAAATATTATCCCAGTTGATAAGTACGATAACAATGTCAAAGGTACATATAAACCTTTATGGAGGGATCATGAGACCATAACAAGTCGGGAGAATTTCAATTGAAAAGTCAATCACAATGACGTCACGAGTCCACAAGCGGGACAGGGGTCAAACGACCATGTCACAAGCTCAATAACGGGTATGTCCACCATCGGCATTGAGAACAGCAGTGCATCGACGACGCATAGAGCCTATCAAACGTGCAAGGAAGGCTTGTGGGATGTCACGCCAGATTCTCTCAAGTTCTGTTGCAAGGTCAAAGATGTTATCTGGCGGATGAGGAAGACGGCGTAGACGTCGATCCATCTCGTCCCAAACATGCTCTATCGGGGAGAGATCCGGTGAATTTGCAGGCCAAGGCAGTAAGTCTACGTTGTGGTGTTGCAAGAAATCCATAGCAACCCTTGCCGTATGAGGGCGGGCATTGTCCTGTTGGAATGTTAACCCAGGGCCATGACGTTGCAGAAAAGGAATTGCCACAGGTCGAAGAATGTGATCCCTGTAGCCCACACCAGTTAAGTTGCCCTGAACAATCACCAAAGGAGTTCTTTGGCGTGCTGTTATTCCACCCCAAATCATCACGGAACCACCACCAAAGCGATTCCTCTCCAAGACACAGGCCTGTGCATAACGTTCTCCCACGCGTCTATAGGCACGTTGACGTCCATCACTATGGGAAATGTTAAACCTGGACTCATCTGTAAAAACAACATTTCTCCACCAAAACAAGGGTCTGCGGACATGATTTCGGCACCACATTCGGCGAGCCTGTCGATGACGTTGTGTCAGGATAGGCCGTATGGCGGGACGTCATGGTCTGATCCCGTGATGACGTAAACGTTGTCGAACTGTGTGTGGGGTGGATCCGGGATACGGCGAAGTCCTGGGATGGTTCGGGCAGTCATCACTGCAGTCTGAAACCTGTGGCGAAGATGGGTCCCCCTTATCCATATGTCCTGTCTTGGCGTTGTTACACGTGGACGTCCAGAACGTGGCCGATCGATGACGTCATTTGTGTTCTGGTAGCGTCTCACCAGTGCAGAAATGGTGTTCGGGTGGCAGTGGAAATGTGCAGCCACTTGTCGTTGAGACATTCCCCCACGGACCATCCCAATGGCCTCACGACGTTGTGCAGACGCGAGCCTTGGCATGTTATGCGTTTCAATAGCCGTTTAATTTTTTGAACGATCGCAAGGGCAGGGGTTGAGCTTTCCAAAGTGACAGTATTGTGTGGCATTCATTTGCTCTGTTTCTCTTTCCCGGAATGCACATGCAACAACGTATTGCACGTCTCAAGGACGAACCCACTGACATCACGGAACGTGGCACGTGCATGCATGTTGGATACATGTCACTAATCTCTGAGTTTGAATCCTTATGTGTCTACACAGGTTTGATTAATTTAGATTTTAAATTTTTGTATGCACAGTTTCTTTATGTGCCTAGTAGTTTGCTCCCCAAATTTCTGATCCGTGTAACAAAATTGGTACTATTTTAGTGTCAAAAAGTAAGCAAGCAGAATGAAATGAAATAAACTTATTAACTTTAAAAAGTTTGAAAATAGAAAATAATGCCTTCTTAGCTTGTGTTGCGAGGGGTTTACATGCCATGGACCAATTTAATCTACTGGAAAATAAAAGACCTAAATATTTATAATATGAAACAACATTCATATTTTTGCCACGGAATGACCCTTTTGCAGAATGTGCTACTATACCCCCGTTTCTAAAAACAACTATACTAGATTTTTCCATATTCAACTCTCATCCCCATGTGTCACAAGTTGTTTGAAGAATATTCAGCTGTCTCTGCAAACCGTTTACCATAAATGAAAACGTAACAATATCGTCTGCAAACAAAAGTAAAAGTTAATCCTTGATTTTGGGAGTAACAAATATTCCATTATTACATGATTTATGCATATTATTTACAAATTCATTAATAAAAAAAGATGAACAGTAAGGGACTTAGGACGCAGCCTTGTCTCACACCAGCGGAAGTATTAAACGTTTCAGTGTTGCCAGAATTAGTTTTAACACAGGCTGCAACAGAGTCATTCATGCTTCATAAAATATTATACATTTTGCAGTGCCATCCTTTGGCATGTAACATAAATAACATTTTCTTACGGTCAACAAAATCAAAGGCTTTCTCAAAGTCGAGGAAAGCGCAATAGAATCTCCCTTTAGGCCTGCATAGGTATTTTGTACATAATGATTGTAATATGAATAAGTTAACAGATGTACTATAATCAGGGCTGAAACCAGCTTGAGCTTCGTCCAGTAGCTCGTTTAGATCAACCCAGGCACGTAAACGCCTTTCTGAAATATTAGCAAATAGTTTTCCAGAAATATTTAAGAGAGATATTCCACGTTAGTTGGATGGCTCAGATACACTCCCAGACTTCAACAGAGGGACAATCATCCCTATATTCCATATAGTTTGGAATTTACCATTATCAAGTACTACATTGAATACATCTTTCAGATATGACACAAGAGAAGTAAAAGTAGATTTGTGAAATGAAGGAGAGATGCCGTCATGCCCCGCTGCCTTATTCCATTTCAGTTCATTTATAGATTTTATTACCTCTTCTTCAGGAATTGGGGTTGACGATATATCTTGAGAGAATGAGAAATCTTCACAATCGTCACAGTTATGAACTGAGACAAAATCATACACTGATTTATCAAAATCTGAAAGCAGTTATTTATCTCTGCAGGAAAGGAGATCTTTGAAGTAATGATACCATTGATACGCAATTCATATGATACCGTCACGAATATGTATGGAAAGTGCTTACCCAAGCTGTGTAAATTAATGAATATACATATTGTGAATGGTAGAAGTATGCCCGATATTCCTGGAAATTTAAGTTACATTTCAAACACCGGTTGCAGCACTGTTATTTATGCGGTTGTTTCATCTGAGATGTTCAACAATATTGCTAGTTTTGAGGTAAAGGCTCGCACAGAGTCGGATCACCTCCCGATGGTCTGTGTACTCCGTGACGTAACCGCTTCCACGTCTCGCGAAAGGAATGTTACTGCAGTACCTATGTTCAAGTCCGTAGGTTATAAACTGCGGGAGGAGCAGAGAGAGAGTTTTCATACTAACCTGGTAGATAACATAAAGGATGGTATCCTGGATGATTTCAGAGATCAACTACATATTGATGCTAACGCTGCGATATCTAAATTTACGTCCCTGCTTTAATTATCCGGTGTTAGAGCTGGAGCTGTCAGATTCACTTCACCCTATCGCCGGCAATCGCGCCAACCTCCCTGGTTTGATCAAGAATGCGGCAAACTTAAGTTCGAAAAATACAGACTTCTAAACCGTTTCAGAAAGTATAAAAGTGATTCTAACCTTGATTCTTATTTGAAGGCAAAACACAATTTTTAAAATTGCTGCCAATTAAAATAAGATAATTATTTAGCCAAAGACGATATTAAAAGAGCAGCAAGAAATCCAGACTGTAAGTTATTCTGGAACACGTTAAAACGTCATCTTAAGAAAACTGAATGTGATATCACATTCAGTCGATTGTAAATCATACCTTATTTTTACTTTTATTTTAAACTAGCTTCTTGTCAGTCCAAATGAGAGGGTTTTTAAATTATTTAGTGAAACTTTGAGTTTACAGAAAGAATGTGATTATTAAGATGTTTTTGTGAGCCAATCTTGGAAACACCTCTCATTGTTTCTTTCGTTGTTATTTCTTTTAGCAAATAGTAGACTTGGAAGTAGATTGGTGCAGCTCATTACTGTTATATCTCATTGTTCTTTTACCTACTTGACAATTGTACAAGAATCTGTATCGAAGCGTCGCACTCACGAAATCAGTTGTTATCAATAAAGTTTGTCATCCCTAATACCACTCAAAGAAACGAAGTTTGTGTTTCAACAGTCTTGTGAGGTGAGGTGAAATTGGGTTTAACGTCGTACTTGAGAATATTTCGCTCATATGACGACGTGCATACGTGTGTATGTGCGGCTGCTTGTACTAGCCCAGACTTAAGCTGGTTTTATAGTGCTAGCCCACTGAGATACCATGCCGCAGTGAAGCATGAATACCCCACTCAGACACATTATACTGACTCCGAGCCGACCAGTCCTTGTTGTACCCATTAATGCCGAGCGCCAGGCAGGGACCAACAAGTACTATATTTTAACGTCTTTTGGTATGACGCGGTCGGGGATCGAACCCGCGACCTTCCGCTCTCCGGGCGGACGCTCTAACCACTACACCACGAAGGCGGTCCCAAATGTCTGGTGCAAGTCCATAACTATCACAATATTGACCAACACCAGGCTTACAGAGTCAAAACAATTACAGTGTTGACTGAGGAAATGTGCATCTGTGTTTACGATTCAACTCTGTTTCCTGAGAATTGGAAGACTTAATCTCGAAAAATGTATGTCTGGCATCCTGTCAGTGTGGGTTGCTGTCGATAGCGCACTGCAGATGATAGTTCTTTATGTCGTGTTTCTTCACAACACACTGTTCCTCGACTGATCAATCTCAAGCAGAGCCGACGTCTGAGAGAACACAAGGACACTCAAGGTACTCGTCAGTGCCGACTTGTACAGTACTTCGATTCTTCATTCTCCTTACAATTGAATCGATAACTCTCATGTACGGATGGCTCTGTTGTCTATTATACCACCTTTCACCATGCAGAGATCCTAGGTATGTTAGGTATACGCAATAATAATAGTAATAATAGGATTTAACTGGTCCGAAGCGTACATACAATCGATTTTAGAGGATAAAGGTTTCTTACCTTTCCTTATAGAGATGTGGGCGGGACCATTGTGTGATGTGGATGGGGACCATTGTGTGGTGTGGGTGTGAAAATTGCGTGGTGTGGGTGGGACCATTGCGTGGTGTGGGGACAATTTTGTGGGTGGGTTGGGACCATTGTGTGTGGGTGTGGGTGGGGACCATTGTGTGGTGTGTGGGTGGGGACCATTGTGTGTGGGTGGGGACCATTGTGTGGGTGGGTGGGGACCATTGTGTAGTGTGGGTGGGGACCATTGCGTGGTGTGGGTGGGGACCATTGTGTGGTGTGGGTGGGGACCATTGTGTGGTGTGGGTGGGGACCATTGTGTGGTGTGGGTGGGGACCATTGTGTGGTGTGGGGAGTGGACCATTGTGTGTGTGTGTGGGAGGGGACCATTGTGTGGTGTGGGTGGGGGGACCATTGTGTGGTGTGGGTGGGGACCATTGTGTGGTGTGGGTTGGGGACCATTGTGTGGTGTGGGTGGGGACCATTGTGTGGGTGTGGGTGGGGACCATTGGGTGTGGGTGGGGACCATTGTGTGGTGTGGGTGGGACCATTGTGTGGTGTGGGTGGGGACCATTGTGTGGTGTGGGTGGGGACCATTGTGTGTGTGGGTGGGACCATTGTGTGGTGTGGGTGGGGACCATTGTGTGATGTGTGGTGTGGTGTGGGTGGGGACCATTGTGTGGTGTGGGTGGGGACCATTGTGTGGTGTGGGTGGGGACCATTGTGTGGTGTGGGTGGGGACCATTGTGTGGTGTGGGTGGGGACCATTGTGTGGTGTGTGGGTGGGGACCATTGTGTGGTGTGGGTGGGGACCATTGTGTGGTGTGGGTGGGACCATTGTGTGTGGTGTGGGTGGGGACCATTGTGTGGTGTGGGTGGGACCATTGTGTGGTGTGGGTGGGGACCATTGTGTGGTGTGGGTGGGGACCATTGTGTGGTGTGGGTGGGGACCATTGTGTATGTGGTGTGTGTGGGTGGGGACCATTGTGTTGTGTGGTGTGGGGACCATTGTGTGGTGTGGATGTGGGGACCATTGTGTGTGTGGGTGTGGACCATTGTGTGGTGTGGGGACCATTGTGTGTGGTGTGGGTGGGGACCATTGTGTGGTGTGGGTGGGACCATTGTGTGGTGTGGGTGGGACCATTGTGTGGTGTGGGTGGGGACCATTGTGTGATGTGGGTGGGGACCATTGTGTGGTGTGGGTGGGGGACCATTGTGTGGTGTGGGTGGGGACCATTGTGTGGTGTGGGTGGGGACCATTGTGTGGTGTGGGTGGGGACCATTGTGTGGTGTGGGTGGGGACCATTGTGTGGTGTGGGTGGGGACCATTGTGTGATGTGGGTGGGGACCATTGTGTGTGGTGTGGGTGGGGACCATTGCGTGGTGTGGGTGGGGACCATTGTGTGTGTGGGTGGGACCATTGTGTGATGTGGGTGGGGACCATTGTGTGGTGTGGGTGGGGACCATTGCCGTGGCCGGACCGACTGAAGGACCCGACATGGACCACCGACAGGAAATAACGACCGACCGAGTGGACCACCAGGACGTGAACGGACAGGACCACGGACCACGGACCACACCGAACGGAACGAATGGACCACCCGAACGGAATGGACCCACTGACCAGTGGACCCGACTGCGGCGGACCAGGGACCGACAGGACCAGGACGTGAATCAGGTGGACCGACCGAGTGGACCACCGGACCGAATGGACCAGCCGGACCAGGAATGGACCAGGAATGGACCGACCAGGAATGGGACCAGACGGACCACCAGGACAGTGGAGTGGACCGGATGGACCGACAGGAGGGACCAGGAAGGGACCAGGAACAGGAACGGAACGGACGACAGGGACCACCAGGACCATCAGGAAAGGACTGACCAGTGGACCACAGGAAGGGACCATCAGGGCCGGATGGGGACCACATGGACCGACAGGAAGACGGAGGACCGGACCGACAGGGAGGACCGAACTGACCACCAGGTGGAGGAATCAGGAATGGACCAGGGACCAGGAACGAATGTGGATGGAACGGAAGGACCAGGACCACGAAAGGACCGGAACGGACCAGTGGACCACCAGGGATCCGAATCCGGATGGAATGGACCGGAATGGAATCAGGAGTGGACCGACAGGATGGAAGGAACGAATGACCAACAGGGTGGATGGAACGACAGGGACCAATGGAAGGCCAGTGGACCAAATGGACCACCGAAATGGACCACGGTGCCGCGGGATGGACCCACGGACGGATGGGGACCCACGAATGGACCGACAGTGGATGGGACCACGGTGGACCACAGGATGGAACGCACAGTGGACCACAGGAAGGACCACAGTGGACCACACGATGGACCCACGGAACGGACGGACCACGACGTAACCACGACCACGGGACCACAAATAACCACAGGCCCCGACCGGACCACGTGGACCATCACGGGACCACAGAACGGAATGGAACCATTGAACGACCACAGGGACCGACATGAGTGGCCTGACATGGCCCACGGAACCACAGTGGACCACAGATGGACCACAGGATCCGACAGGAACGACCACGAATGGACCTGATGTAACCACAGGACCACGGACCGGATGGACCACGGACCACAGTGGACCCACGATGGACCGACAGGGACGGACCCACAGTGGTGGACCCACAGGGACCACAGGACCCACCAGGACCACAGTGGAATCACGGAGACACAGGGACCACAACGAATGGAAATGGAATGGACCACAGTGGACCACGGCCCATCAGTGGTGTGGGTGGACCACGTGGCGGACCCCAGGTGGATGGGACCATACAGGACCCCACAGGTGGGACCCCACAGTGGACCCACAGGATGGACCACAGTGGGACCACAAGGACCAAGGACCACAAATGGATGGACCACACAGGAACGACCAGGACCACATTGAACGGAATGGAATCCACAGATGTGGACCACAGTGGACCACGAGGCCACTGGATGGCCCCACAGTGGACCACAGGACCACAGTGGACCCACAGTGGTGGACCCACAAAGGATGTGGCTGACCACGGTGGAATCCACATGGACCCATTGTGGATGTGGACCACAGTGGTGGACCACAGTGGGACCACAGGTGGACCACACAGTGGACCACAGGATGTGGACAGACCACAGTGGGGCCCCATTGTATGGTGTGGTGGAATCCCACAAATGGACCACATGGTGGACCCACAGGACCCACATGGACCCATGGACCACACATGGACCACAGAGGTGGCCCAGTGTGGCCACACAGTGGCCCCATGGGACCAGGTGGACCATTGTGGACCCACAAAGCGGGGTGGACCACAGGACCACACAAGACCAAAGTGGACCACAGTGCCGTGGACCAGGACTACAGCGTGGACCACAGTGACCCACGTGGATGGACCACGGTGGACCACAGATGTGTGGACCACAGTGGTGGAGTGGGATCACAGGGACCAGCATTGTGTGACGGGGACCACAGTGGGACCACAGTGCCAAGGACCCACAGGATGTGGTGGACCCACAGATGTGGACCATTGTAGTGGACCACAGGTGTGGCCACAGTGTGTGGAACAGCGGATGTGGACCACAAATGGACCAGGCAGGGCCCACAGTGGTGGACCCACAGTGGAACCAGGACGTGGACCACAGTGGGACCACACAGTGACATGGAACCACAGTGG